AGATCCCCCTTCTCGCCAAAACCCTCTACCACGTCCCCCACGTGAATCATCCTATCAACCCGCGTACTTGTCAACGCTTGCAGATCGAGGCAGCGGAACTTCCTTGGATTATTGGACGAACAAGTAATTTACCCGCTCGTACCCCCACTTTGATATACCACACTGCCCATGCTCATGATCGCGCATTTTAGTGTTCAGTTACAAGTACTAATTTAGATCATACCGCAATCTGTTTTCTTCTTTCTTCATTTCCCTCGGGGCTCTGATTAGGCGGACGTTTTCTCCATTCACCTTGTCCTACTAACTTGTTATTGATTTGGACTGGAGACATGTTATTACCAGCTCGATTAATTGAGCGCATTGCTTCGACTACTATGTATTTGCAATCATCATTCCCTCACTCTTTGTAAAGTATGAAAATGATTGAATTCCGTTATAAGTACAATTCGCTTTGAGCCCGATACAGGAGATATGCAAAATGCGATTATGAGAGAGCTTGATGTGAACGTTATGCACATGAGTTGAACTGACAAACGAGACGTGCCGCAATCCAAACATTGGAAAAGCAAGCAAAGTAAACAAAAGTAAGTAAGTAAAACGAAAGAAAAGTGTACAAAGTTCGCAGTTTCATCACGAGGAACCACACTGCCGATAGTCCAACGGAAACTTGGGGGCGGGGTAATCGTCCCATTGGCGTTCTCCATCAAGGAAGCGACGCAACCGCGCGACTTGTGATGAGAGATACATCAGGATGATCTGCATCTCGATGTCGAGTTTGAGTTTGAGGATTTCTTCGCAGGTACGGAGAGCTTGTGTGCGTGTTGTGACGAACATGTTGCCTCGGAACCCAAGCTCTTTCAGGCTGTCAATCAGTTCTCCGAATTCGGAACACCATGCTAATACGCCTAGCTGTTCGTGTGCGTGAGCACTAGTTGGGGTTTGAGAAGAAGAGACTTACTTGGCCGTATTGCTTGTAACGACCATAGAGAACGTTAGGTGCTGCCCCAAGCGCAAAGCCGAATGCTTCGTTTTGCATGATGACGCTTTGTTCTGGGATGTAAGGTTCGACCACAGGCTGAGGCTGAATAAGGCGTGAGTGTCTGACTTGGTTGGTAGTGGTAATGGTAGGAAGGTACCTCTGGCCTTGGAGGCGGCTCCTGGAACCACTGGTGTCCAGAGTAGTCCACTTCTCCACCAAAATCCACGTGCTCAGCGTTCTTCGCTGTGTAATCCATTATTCGACGATTAGGAGGACTGGTTTCAAGACGTAAAGTTTCGAGTAGTGCAGTGAGATCCTTTGGTAAAGGTATCGAATCAGGTGGGACAGAGCTTTGTGCTTGAGGGGTGAAGATGGCGTGTAAATTGGAAGAGTGTTCGCTTCATCAGAACGAAAGTCAGTCAAGGCGTTTCAGGTTGCGTATGACGTGGACTTACGATGAAAGTGGGGAAAGAGAAGTGGGGACGCTGAGATTTAGAGTATTAGATGAAGGTGAGAAAGTTTTTCGGGAAGACGATGATTGAGATAACTCCTATGAACTCAGGTGATTAGGATGCCTGAGGAAATAAGAAATGACACTTACCTTGAAAAGAGGATTTAGAGACTGTCTATTCTCCTTGGATGACAAACGTCTAGAACCGGAACTATTCAGACGAGTCTTCCGGGCAGCGATTGATTGGCGATGACGCTCTGCACTGATACGGCTGACCGTTGATAATCGATGATAGAATATCGGAGAAGGTGAGGGTTGCGCCGATACAAAAGCGGAACTTGATATTATGCTGGAAGCGCCGGAATCGCTAGAAAAGGTTTCTGCAATGGAATGAGGAGTTGCAAGTGAGTCCCGATCTAATTCAGGAGTCTCCAAATAAATATCGGTGACTACTCGCTGGAGAATGGGCTTGTAAGGTGATTCGGGAGCGTAAAGAGGTTGTGGTGGGGGAACTGGAAGGAGAGGTATCGGAATGGGTAAGGGTCTAGGGGAGTCGGGAGCAAAAAGTGCAGAAGTGAAATAAGTGCTGATCTCCGGAACTTTTAAGTGCTCCGAATCTGTCAGGAGAGATATCCTTGAAGGCGGAAAGATGCTACGATAGTCGAATAGATCACGGTTTTGTACGTTTCGACTGAGCCAAGAAGGGGATGGTGGAATGAATGATGTACGTGATGATGGGCTGAGAAGCGAGCTAGTGGTGAATGGTGACGGTGATGCAGTGAGTTCCGATGGATCAACACACGCGTGTTTGGTGACGGAAGGAAACGGTTTCGCGACCTGCTCTGGATGTAAGGCGTCACTGGCAGGCGGTGGAATCGGAAGGGGTGCTGGTGATGATGATTCACCTGTTATAGCTGCCTTGCGAGCTAAAACGACAAGTGCGGCCTCAGAAGGGTTTGAAGAGTTCTCAACTGTAGACTCGATGACAGGATTCGAAGGGCAAGAATGGAGGGGTTCTGTGAATGCAGATTGAACAGAAAGGGACAGTGAAGTTGCTTTGCTTGATGCTCTCTTCCTGCTTCTGATGGTATTACCGGACGAAACGTCTGAAATGCGAGAGTTGAATGGACTGTTCAATAACCTTGATAAAGACCTGAAGCGCTTCAATGAGCCAGTATATCTACGACTACTTCTGACGTCAAAGTCAAGCGTAGTAGGAGACGTAAATGGCACAAATGTCTGAGTGGGAGTGCTAGAAAGTTCTGGACTTGCGTCAAAGTCGGAAGGTGAGTCAACGAGAGGAGGGTTGCGAAGAATGAACTCGTTCGTAAATGGAGGGGAGACACGAAGGGTAGAACAAGTCTCGTCAAGTTCTTGATTGGCAGTGATGAGTGTCGAGCTCGCAAGTGAGGATGTTGCGTAGGTCGAAGCGATCGGAGTGGGTATGTGAGTTGGGGGTCTTGGGAATGCAAGGTATATGTCGGATACTTCCGCTGCCCGATTGGACTGAACTGTTTGCCGACCGGAATTGAAAGCCGACAAGTGAAGAGACGCCTTGGATAAATTTTTAAGGCGATATAAAGCGGATTTGGTACGAGAAGGTGCTGGTCGTTTAGGAGGGGTGGGTGAATCAGAGGGCTTATTGCACGTTTCGCCGGCTGACGGTTCTGGATTAGGACGTGCTAGAGACTCGTCGTCGAGATTAACTGGAAGATCTTCTCGATTTACGAGCTCAAATTCCTCAGAGTCTTCAACTTGTAATTGTGGCTCCTGCTCTGGAGTAGTCTCTGTATGCTTTTTGGAAAAGAGACCTTGGTTACCTCGCCCTTTGAAAGTGCGGGAGAGTAAACGGGTTGGATCGAGAGTATGAGCCGAGCTGCGCAAAGAGCCTCGAAGGCCGCGAGGTAGTCTCGACTGGAAGTAAGTTGATGGCGACGTTGTATCTTCTCCAAGTCCTTGTGACTTGTGAGGAGAAGAGAATTAGAGCTGGGAGGAGTGACCTTTGAAGAAAATCAGGCGCTGTGTCAGCGTGATTGTAACGTGGACTCCTGACGACGTAGGAGAAGCTACATCTGGTTCAATTACTTACCAGTCCTTATCCTCGTGTTTTCTGTTAAACCTGTTAGTTTTCCGCTGACCTGCCTCAAGGCGCGATCGGCACACCCGGGTTTAATTACATAAGCTTTGACTGATTAGTACGGTTGGATTGTCTGGCACTGCTGTTGATCCTTGAACTCACTCGCGTCGATGGACTCATCAGAAGTGCAGTGTGTACTGCCTAACAAGCTACTCGTCGTTCTCTGTTTCTACAGAACATTCATTTCGACTCAAAATAGGTTACATACAGATTAATCAAAGCATGGCCCACGATGACACCTTTTCTTTCTTGATCAGGAAAAACACGCCCCCCAAGTCGTTCTCTTCCTAGACGACCTTTGGAGTCGAGCTGCGCACGATGATAGAAGCATTGTAACTGCTTGCCTTGCATGCATTTTTATCACTGACTATCAGCACCACGACGGTTTCTCATACTGATAACGCACTTGCACTGATAACGTTTTTCTCGCAGTATCACAAGGCAAACGGATGGGTTTCATGCACCAAACCGCAGTAGATCGTGGTATAAATTACTTAGTACGTGATGTCATGAATGTCATCCGTATTAAGCTAGAAACCAACAATCTAATGGCATCAGTGGGTCACGCTAGACTCGAAGCGGTACTAAGTCCGCCATGACACAAAAAGTACCCGTCTTTAACCTATATGTTCTGATCAGATACGCAGCACTTGCTGGTTTCAATTGTCAGACCGCTTCCATCAATCTAGCTCTACCACCGTGACATTCGGGCTCGTCGATCGGAGCAAAGCAGTGTTTTTCAACTTCTGATATCATGTATTCTTTATAGAGATCCCCATCTAAACCCCAACTCGACCGTTTCAATGTCCGAGCAGCTCCTACATGTCATATGTTCATCGGAGATGAGCTCATCTTTCAGCTAGAGCGGATATTATTTTCACGTTCGCCTTCTTCACCACCCCCTCTACTCTTCCAGTTATCTACAACAAAGGTACTGCGTACCACGAAACCGCGGACAGATTCATGTCGTCAGGATGTCGTGTAATCATTACAGCAGCTTCGTGATCGTGCGCTGCGCTCGCTCGTGGCAAGCTCAGGGTTTTCTACAACTCGCAGTATTCGAACCCAGCATCGCCCCTACACATGCTTGGGCGCAATGAGATGTCCGGATCATATCTACTTACAGGAACAATATCAGAAACCCTTTGTACAAAAAAGCGCGCGACTTTCTCGTATTGGATGGCCCCTGTAGATGCTTTAAAGACACGTCTTTACAGCAGCTGTGTAACGTGCGGCTCGAAGGCGAGGTCCAGTCGGAGAATGAACCAAGGCCTAAAACATTCAATTCCAATTGAAGATACCCAGGCCAGCAGGGACCTCGGTGCTGCGTGCTGCGATGATCGGATGCAAGCGAGAGAGGTATGCGAAGAAGTAATTAGGACCAGAACGGGGGAAAATAGTATCATGATCGTCCCTGCTGTGTGCATCTCTTGATTTAGCTTGCGAGACATCAATCACTTTCATTGTTTTATCTTGAGTGAGGAAAGCAATCAACTAATATAAGGAATTGTGTTTGTGATAAGCATATTGACTCGCGCTAGGAATTGGTAGCAATAAGTACACGGGGCAAGCAGAACAAGAAATCAAACAAGTTGTCATTTACAATACTGCGGGGAGATTAGCGCAGTAGGCTCTGCCTCTCTCCCGGCACTTCATCATCAATCAGATTCTCTTGATCCCTCTGTTTACCAGGGAAGAGACGCCGCATGAGCGGTACTGCTTGCAGGACCGAACGGCTGCCAGAGAGTGCCGGCAGATACCAGGCAACTGAGCTTCCACCCATGACTGCCACCAACAAAACGAGCACACCGAAGTCTCCAACCACGGCATAGACAGTCCTTCTTTGGTCAAAAGGGAACTGCAAGCTGATAGTGCGAGTCCACGATCCGGAGCCAAGTTGCATAATCTCCGTGATGCCCCCACCTCCAACGCCACTAACTCCCATGGCCCCTCCATCACACCATAGCACCATGCTCCCGATTTCGTTTGCACGCGACTTGGCTTGTTCCCACATTGCGAGACTGACGGTGGAGTCCCACGTGCGAGCCGGTGCCAGGATCAAAGCTGGCCTAGAGTCAAGCGAACTAAATGCTGATGAGAACGCGAAGTCAAGACAGATGGAGGATGTGATGGGAACCGGGCGGGTATAATTAGGCGGCGAGGACCATTCGGGTTTTGTCGTCCATTTTGGAGGGCCGAGCTCGAAGTTGTATATAGCGGGAGGCTCAGTCGAAGGAATTGCTGAGAAGGATTCTGTGACTATCTGACTGTCAGACGCTCGTCAAAATCACGTTTACATGAAGGGACGTACATGGAACAAGATTACGCTTGTAATACTGTGTAACTTCCTCGCCTTTCTTCTGCCCTTCATGGACAAGGGCGAGCCCGTTACGGCGCATGCGAGATCCACTGGGGTTTGATGGTTCTTGGGGAACGAACTCCTCGAAGGCGACTCCGATAACAGATTTCTGTATATTCTTGCGCAACTCTTCGAATGCGGCTTCCCTCTCCTCCTGACCATTGAATATCACCGCGCTTTCAGGCCACAGAACTACTTTGGCCTGCGAAGTTAATTTTTTGGTCTCGGTAATGAAGTCGTGAAGAGTTGGTTGTTGATCTTTGTGAACGGGTGGGAGGGCACAGGCAACACCCATTGGCGAAGTATCAAATATAGTATCAGTTCGAGCGGGTAGACTGGCATGTAGAGACGGAAGGGAGAGTGCGACAAGAAGTGTTCCTAAAACGAGAAGACTCCGTGAGCGCTTATTGGATTGAGCTTCACTGGACGAAGTAGACATTTGAACCGGCTGCTCATCGTTGCTGGTGCCCATTAGCCAAGCAGCAGCAACTTCCGAAGACAGAGCCGCACAGGCACCGACGGCCCAGTCGATGCCCATTGGCCCTGTATACGGTAGTAGCCATCCAAAAGGATGGGAGGATGAGACTGGACTCCAATTTAAAAGTCTCCCCACGGGGGAAATGTGGGAAACGATAGCCCACGTCGTCGCCCATACAACAGGTAAAAAGGTTACCTGAGCCCAGAAAGTTTGGAATCTGCGATGTAGGCGGATATCTGCATAAAATGGTAGGATCGCCAACATGTATGTGATGGCAGACATGACTGCGACCGCAGCAAATGACTGTGTCGAACTCGACAGTGCATTGGTTGCGGAAGAGTAATGGGCGAAGGAAGCGCCAACCGTCACGGCTACCCATGAGCACATTAACTCTAATACACGGGTATTTCTGCATGCGATGCGCAAACCATGGATGCGCAGAATGGTGAGCAGCAGTACCAATGGTACAAATGTAGGGGTTGGGCCTAGTGTCAGGAATGCAAAGAAACACTCGCTAACCCCAAAGATCAAGGTAGGGTTTTTGGCGAAGATGATGGATCGTAGAGTGTCCGCCATGATATATAGGCGATGAGGACGATGGTCGTTAAGTGAGTCCTTCAACGACCACGTAATTTCTGCGGCCAAGTTTTATACGATGAGAATAAGAAGCTTTGCTTGGAATGGTATGAAGTTCGGACTCTTAACTGAAAAGTAGTTCATTTGACCAACGTTCGATTCACTGAATCAAATCTTGACATACTACTGGACGACTCATCAGCACTTGTTCGACGTTACAAAGGAACGACAGCCACCATGTGTTCCCCAGGATCAGCGCGTACGCCGGTGTCCACCTCGGCGCGACATTAGGCTACCAAGCTCCCGACAGAAATTGTGCACGACTGCATCAGCATTTAATTCCATTCTCTGTATAACCACAGACTACCGTGACAATACTGTCATTGTAAGTAGGTCTAACAAAACTTTGAATGAAAGCTTGATTAATTTAAGAGCTAAACACGGTCGATTGTTATTGTAGCCGTAGAACTTTCGGGCCTCAGCATCATCCACTACTGGGATGTCAGACTCGCACACTTCCTTTCGGGAGATGAACACCTATACGGCGAATATCCACTCGATAGTAGCCGTGACACCACCACCGCCAAAACGCACTCTGACATCCACATCTGAAGACCCTGTCTCGTAGTAGGGTGTCATCCTGTCTCCACGAAACTCTCTTTGTCAGTCAATTCATTGTCTGTGTCCACCCTTTATTACTGTGTCCTCCCCTGTCGTTATAGTAGATGTCAATTGCACTTGTAAGAACTGTGCACAAGCATTAATGACAAGCAAGATTTCTGCAGACGCAGTCGACGTCGACGCTTCCTATAGCGATTATCGACAAATACGTAGTACAGAGGGGCGGACAACTAGGGAGGAACAAAAAAAAACGCACTATTTTCAATGCACTGCGACCCCAGAAATGGTTGGTGCAGCTCTGTTCAGGCTCCGCAATGTCAATGGCGATGTCTTGATCGGACCTAGATCTGATTCTGCTATCCAGGACTGACTGGCATCCAAATACTAGTGCCGGCAGGTACCTGGCTACCGAGCCTCCACAGGCCTCCACCCATTATCGCCAGCAAGAAAGCGAGTATACCTATTTCCCCTACCACGGCAAAGACAGTCCCCCCTTGGTGGAAAGGGAAGTACAGCAGGCCAATGGTTCGCGACCAAGACTTGCAGTAAAATTGCAAAATCCCCACCCCAACGCCACTGACTCCCGTTGCCCCTCACGCCACAGCACCATCTGTCCACCCCATAAACGCGCAATAATGATAATCGTTGCCAAGAGCTGGGTGTCGACCATCGCGAACCGTTGGCAGGAGAGCGCAGGCAACACCCGGTGGCGGATTTTCAAATAATGTATCAATTTTAGTGGGTCGACTGATATGTAAGGGGGATGAGTGCGAGTTTGGGAGATTCGGCGAGCGCCTCTCGGATCGTACTTGATGTGCACTGGTGAAGATAGGCAGATGAATCTCCTCTTCGCTGGAACTCATGAGCATTGTCGCTTCCAAACACAAAACGGTATAGGCAGTAACAGCCCAGTCTATGCCCAGCGACCCATACACAACCATAGGAGTGAGGAATGGAAATTGGACTCCAGTTCAGAGGTCTCCCGATAGGAATCCACGGCATAGCCCATACAAATGAGAAGAAATTGATTATGTTCTTTGAAATCGACGACTGAGCTGGATATCTGACGGTAGTGTCACAATAGCGCACAAGTTTGTGATGGCACACATGACTCCAAATGCCACAAGTGATTGTGATTAGCTTGACAGAACATCAATAAGCTGAAAATGAGCTGTGATGGCTGTCCAGAAGACCATTAGTTCCAATTATTCAGTGAATGAATGTGACTCGGGTTCCGTTGGTGTATACAGAGAATTGCGAGCAGTGACACCAACGGTGCGAAAGTCGGCAATGGGGACCCAACAAGCACGAACTTTGTAACTGCAAGCATGGACGTTGCTTACTTTACGAGGATAAGGCGTCCTTCATGTTAGCCAGGCGATGCTCATTGAATATAGAGTCCTGCGACGGCCGTTGAACGCTTAGGTATTTGATGAGCATGAAAATCCAAACTTGACTTGAAGGTAAGGTAAACGTCTATGGAGATCTGAAAACACGATAGGGTAGACTCCACAGCTTCGAATACCGACGTCCATAGTACAACCATCTCCTAATAATGACAAGAATATAAACCTTGTATGAGCAGCAGTACAGGACCGGATACTACGTCAATATCGGGAGTGAAAGTATGGTTCCAGGCCCGGGGTCTTCGGCGTCGAGAACAACCGACTACGTCTCCTATTGTCGTGGCAAGAAACGGCTAGCAGTTGGCACACGAGCGGCAACAACTGATGAGGCAGTGAACTATGTAATGAGTCAGTCTAAAGGTGAATGATATATTACCACATGGAGTATACCTGGTGCAATCAGAGTGAGGATCATGGAGCTGCCAGTGCTCCCTCCGCAGACTCATCATTATTCAGGTTTACGGAGAATGGGTCAATAGTGTGGTCCATGAGAGGCCCATCCAATAATGCGTCGCCGTCTTCCAGTTGACTGAGGTCATGAACGCCCTCAAATGCAGGTCCGAGCACTGTCATGTCCAGGTCTCCGACGTCTTCAGGATTGACATTCTCGTGTACACCGATTTCGATATCCACGTTGCCATCGAGAGATTTGAGTGACTCGTCCAACATATCTGCGACCTCCTCTGTGACTAATATAGGTTCGGTAGCGTGGAGCGAAAGTGCAGGAGGTGATGGCGAGGATGGTTTGGTTTGGGGTTCTGACGGAATTTCCTGATTAACTGAGTTTGTCTCCGTGTCCACCACAGGTACTTCTGCATCAGGAGCTACAGAGGCAACTGGCTCATCCTGGTCCATCTCTTCGTCTCCTTCCACTACCTCAGGTTCGTCAGGAAGAGGCGCTAGTGGTTCGTCCACCTCTCCTTCATCGTCACTAAATTGCTTCAAGGTTGACTAGAATTTCGAAGTCACTCTAACAATGGATCAGACCACTTACTTGTTTTTTGTCTGTCTTCACCCACTTGTAGATCTTCATAGAAGAATTTGGAGCGGCATTTTCTGGGACGGTCCATGCTTTCTCCCAGCAAACAACTGGCTGCATGAGTTGGCGTCTTGCAGCCTCCGTTGTTGCGATGCTGACGCCAATTCTCCGCCTAGTCGACATGGATGCAGATAAAGAAATAGGTTATTGATTTCGTTGATGAATTCTGTTTCTGAACAAACTATGAACTACTAAAGTTAAGCTTTCCGCCACCCATTTGGGGGTCGCCGCTCACACCACTGACGCATCCAAGACGCATCAAGCAATCATTGACGCGGAAATCGTAAAGTTTTAGCAAGCTCCACAATGGAGGCCCAGCCTATCAGGCAATTGACTGGACTTTGACAAAGATTTATTCAGCTTTATCACCTTGCTCTGCAATTAAATGCAGAACTGCGCAACTGTTTGGAAAAATCTTGGGTCTTGAAAAAATCATTTTGAAGTGCTGTCCAAAAAATGGCCAATATTCCTCGCGACGACACAGCTGCCCATATGTGTTCAAGTGTTCAGTATGACATACACATACGTCAAATATAAGTTACAAGTAACCAGACGGACTTTGCAAAAAATGAGTAAATAAAACTGTCGCCACCGTATCTATGACTTGGATGGTTCGAATGAAGCGGACGCCGTCTTCCGCTGCCCTGAGTGAGTGATATGACAGTGCTTACTGCGGGGTCTAGCGCAGAAGTAGAATTGCATGGGACCTGTATCAACTTGTAATGGTGAACAAGGGACGAAGTAATGGACGTCAGAATATAACCACCGCCTGACTCGTTCGCTACCCTAGCGTACGTCAGCAAGTTCACAGGTCCTGCCATGCAATTTAGTGGGCCATACACACATCCGACTATTGAAAATGGCATAAGCAAGTGTCACGACCGCGCTAGAAGAGAACCTGCGAATTTTATGGAACCTCTTCTGCCCAACGCAACATGTCTTCAAGGGACACGTTGGTCGCAGATATCTGTACCTATACGAAGTCAGTTTTACATCGAAGTGTACGAGGAAAAGTTACCTGAGAACTGCTAGGTTTCGCAGTCAGCTTTTGGTCTAAACCCACCATTTCCTGAGCTGAAGAACGGAGTTCGAGCAGTCGAGCTTCAAGGGTATCACATTGCCTAGCTTATCGCGTTCGTAACATTGATATCATGGAATAGGGAACGCACGAATGAATGTTCTTTGCTTCCTCGCGCCTCAGCTCCAGCTGTCGCTGCATCATGAGTTCAAGATTTCCTCTAGCCTATCTAAACATCAGCCAACCGTATGGATCAGAGAGTGAGAATAAAGACCTGAACGGGCCGTAGATCATTTGCAGCTGCCATCAGATTCTGGGCAAGTATCGCTATCCACTCCAGCTGGCGTTGCCATTCTGGTTGTGCCGAGGATGAAGGTGGTGGTGGTGGTGCAAGAACTGCCTTTGTCAAATTGGAGTACGTGACCAGCATGGACCTCAGGACAGCAAGAAGCGCAGGCCGTCGATCTCAGTACAACTTCAGGACAGCGAACGTATCGAGGAGACTCGAGGACTGTCTCACCTACACTTGGATCAGGAGGGTAGAGTTGATGTACCCCACATTCAGCTAGAGATGGGATGGTCTCTTTCACCTAGTCGGGAAAAAATCAAACACTATGTTTGAATGCAAAGCAACATGCATGCATACAAACCACGTATCCCCGAAGACACTATAGTGCCCTTCTTCAAGGATCCAATCTACTCGTGGTTTCTCGAGCTGGGACAGCGACCATGTGGGTACATCGCTTTGATCTGATAGTAATTCGTGTTGGTCCACTATCCCGATATTAGCGTTTTGATCCCTGACTCGTTCCTTGAGCAGAGCAAGTAGCTTCAGGTTATGCGATGTATAGTTGTTGTAGTGAGATGGGGGTGAGGGAAAGGGACTACGAAGTTCAGCTTCCTCTTCGTCCATCTGCAATGTAGAGTTTACAGAGTGTTAGTAATGCCAAAACTACGTGAATGTCTTATTATCATCATGTTGACGTTCTGTGGCAGTTGTTTGGCAAAGGCTTGTGATCCAAACAAAGCTAACGGTCATTTCTTTAATTTGCTCTTGTCGTACTGCCGTCGCCGTCGTCAAAATGGTGCGCCGAATTGCTTCACAGGTGCACAAGCAGGCCGCGCGGCTCATGCGCGCGAATTACATCAAGAATGAGCCAGTGTGGTATCAAGCGGTTCTCGAACATCCTCCCCTTCCTCTTCCCCCAAGAGCTCCCCCAGTCCGCGAAGACCGTCGGCTATCATCTAGTAGGCAAATGCGGAAACCAAAGACTGAACCGTTGCCTATATTCTACTTGGAGGACAAAGTTCGTCGGCAATTTTTCCGCGACCATCCATTTGAGGCATTCAGGCCTGTCAGCATTGTAGAAGGTCGCGAAGTAGAGGCTGAGCATCCAGTACGAGGAACAGGTTGGACACGGCTATCTCAAAGAGGACTCAACCCTTCTCCGGAGGAGTAAGTAATTCTTCTTTCAGTCAACCATCGAATAACATGGCAACTCCCGTTTTGTTAGTGCTATCCACTTTGCTGTTAACCTGCACAACCACCACAAAATTGCTCTCAGCATTGCATACACGCGCGCTGTCGCAGAGTTCAGATCACTACGAGCCGGGCAAGAATTTGCCAATACTTTTGCTCGAATGGAGGCTGAAGCTTATGGCACTGTCTTCCCATCTGAAATTGACCGGACGTTCGAGAAGGAAGATGCAGTCTACCAATCGGCAGACCGTAAAGTTGAGCTCGACAGGGGTGCTCTTCTCGCTCGCAAGAGGTGGAAGGCCATCTTAGATGTGAACAGTGGGATGGGAGACTTTGACAGAGGACAAGAATATACCAGGAATTGGAAACAAGGTGTCCGTCCAACCTACGTTCCGGTAGATGAACCGGCACCTGTGTCAGAAGCTGGGAAGCCTGTACAATCCTTGGAGCAGGATCATACCGCCGCGAGCCCAGCGTTTGCTAAAATACTGGCTTCACACCCTTAGACATCATTACCTCGCAATTATCGGCCATCGACTTGTAAATGTTTTAAAGTATTATATCAAGAGCATAAGTCGCTAGTAATAATACAAAACTATGCTTTGATACGAGATTGAGCGGCCTGTGCCGCGTTCATCCCTATCCAAGTCTTCTCTACAAGTCCAAGTAGCTTCTGCATGTCCGAACTCCAATCATTCATCACGTCCTCTGCGCTGCGCTTACTCCTGAAGTTGACGATACCTGCTGGTCGGTCTACACGTGCCCAGATGGTATGTGAAACAACTAGCCGAGCAAGTGTTTCTTCCGTTTGTTGTGGTGTAAGGTCGAGAAGAATAGTGAGACGGGAGAGGGTGATTCGAGTGTAATACTGCGCAACTACGCGTACATTCTGGGTAAAATCGTGAATTAGTACACTCAGTTAGATAGATGGATTGGACTAACATGTTCGACGACGCGGGTATGGAGGTCCTCCCATTGCTTGGAAACCGAAAACACCGGCGTTGTTCGCAAGAAAGATCCATACAATGATTCGATTCCGGGCCACCTCATCAATTCGCGGGTCACAAATGACTTGACAAGATTACTGTCCAAAAATCAGTATTGACATTAACAAAAGACAAAGAACTCACTAATGGAGTTCAAGCTTTTCGAGTGCGGGGTTAGCAAATAGATGGTGCAGCATGTCTGATTGTTCGTTGTCATGAGGTGCAAGTACCACGTAATAAACAATGTGTTCGAGAGCCTGAAGACCGTAATCTGTCAGTCATTATAGGCCTGATGGGAATAAGAAGTACGCACAGCACGGCTTTTGCTCTCGTCCTCCTTTATCGACGGCGTATCCCAAACCTTCTCATAATGCTTCGCCACTTCCAGATAAGCACTTTGATGGAGAGCTTGCTGGATCATGAGATCATAGTATTTGAGTTTGAGATCCTAGATTCAGTCAGTCATGAGCGTGTCACCCGTCAGGTCCATGAACGGACAAACCTCATTTGCTTTCTCCTTAAGGAACGACTCGTTGACTTTGCGGCCCCCAACTTTGGCCTTGACCCATTCCGGCTCACCACTTCCAGGTGCATTCTTTCCCTGTTTCACGGGGACTTCCGCATCTTTTAATCGAGCAACAGCAATCAATAGCCTCATCTGCTCTAGAATGAACTCCGTTTTCTCTCTCCGCTCCATCGACGAGTAAGTTTCCACTTGCAGGTCGCTCAGAAGATCCGAAGCCGTTTGTAGTGCCTCTTTGATTGTGGCTGCCAAGGCGTTTGGAGCCTTGGAAAGAGTTTCATGATAATGGGAGAGAGCGAGCGTCACGCGCGCACGGGGCGTCTCGAGGAAAATCTGCGAGAAACACCATAAGTATATGTTGATAGTCCATGACGTAATAGACTAGCCTTTCCCTCAGTCACAGATCGCAGAGTTTCAACCAATTCTAACCACTTCTCGACACCTTGTTCTTGCCGAATCCCAGGCAGCCACGATATTGCCTGTTCGACTATGGCCTGAACAACAACTTTGAATTGACCGTGCTTCTTGCTCAGTAAGCTGATGGTGCTATTGAGTTGTGTGTAATCTCGGGATTCGTAACAGAGTTCAAGTGCCGCTTTAGCTAGGCGCGTTGTGGAAGGCAGATCATTAGCCTATGCGTGGAAAGTTGAGTATGAAGAAGTCATAAAAGTAACAAGACGTGCATTTCGTGTTTGCTTCTCCAGCACAAGCAATCTCTCCAAGGCATCTGACAGTTGACCAGACTCTGACTGAGTCAAGGTACTCCGTCAGTTCGAACACTAAGACATATGCAACTTGCACACACCTTAACGAGAGCGGAAGTCTCTTGTAGGAGCTCGTCAACTTCCTTTGTAAAGTCTTTCTCCTGTTTTCTAACCTCGGCCATTGCAATTGAGTAGTGAGACTTAGAATATGGCTTGTCATGCTTTGGCGTGCAGTGACGCGTCGCAAAAATGTTTGGCGTTATTTGCTTTTCTGCACTGACTTTCCATTTCTGGTCTGACCCCTGAACGGGAGTGATACTTGCCTCCACTTTCTTAATATCTTGTTGACCATCCACAGCATTCGTGAATTTCATGCCATTCCAGTCTGCGTTAGAATAATATGCGTGATAGTAACCCTAATAATAAGCGCCAGCACCGTGTACCAAATGAGTAAAGCGTCCCGTCGCGATAAGGAATTCATAGACAAACAGGAGGAATATCATGATCCAGGAGCTCCGACGTCGATGATGAAACCGAGTGCGCAGGAGAGGGCCTGAGTTCATGTTTTTCTGAGGACAAATCGTTCCCTTCTTTTGGTTGAGCATGGAGTATGGAGAGAGATTTGTCGAGCATATGCATAGGGATCGTGAGAGGGTAAGATGTGAGAATACGACATGCGAAAGTGAGTAGTCCAGCAAGGACCGTAGGGATGACGGAAGGGAAGGCATAGAAGGGGTCGGCATATTTGTCAACTGAGTTGGATTCTTCCAAGGGTAGTACCTGGATGGCGCTGATAGCTTTGTTTTCCGTGTGAATCGATGCGTCGACTTCGGTGGAGACCATGTTAGGCCGAACAGAGACGGACTGGTGTGAGACCGCTGGAGTAGCATCAACGCTTGTATCCATGATTGACGGTGTGGCATCAATAGACGTCGAGACCAACTCTGGCTTAGCCTCAGTTGACCTGTCAACCAGTTTGGGCGACACCTGGACATGGCGCTGAACCAAACGAGGTTTGGCTTGCAGAGACTTGTCTGCAGTGATGCGCGTCACAGTAGCGTCGACACTCTGTTCCCGGGTCTCGGGCTTCTGCGTGGAAAGATGCACAGCCCGGGCCCTCTCCATCAAGCGCATGCCTTGCATGTGTGGCAGCCAGTCCGAAACCTTCTGCCAGCCTGATGCGTTCGCCTCTACATATCCGGGGCGGTTCTTCTCATGGAACCACTTTATTGTCTCCAAATAGGGCGAAAGGTGACTGAGAAGAATGGTTGTCTGAAGAGGGTCGTTGACGACGGAGTGGCCCACGTGTAGGCGGAGAAGTGACCGCGAGGACACATCGAGGGAGTGAAATGTCTCCTCGGACTCCGTATGGGCATCCAACACAAGCGCAAGCGTCTGTAGTCGCTTGCAGCCCTGAGCCAGAACTGCAACACCTCCTAACGTAAGGCTGGGCCCAGATAATGCGGGGAAACGTGCCATTGGGCAGAGCCGAAGGGTCTCGATATTGGGACATGCCTGGGCTACAGCCTGCAAATCTGAATTATGGAAGAGGACTGATTCTGGCAGGTCTATTTCTAGACGGAGCAGAGACGGGAGTGAGGTAAAGTGCTGGAGGGGGAGGTGGCGGCAAGGTGGGTCTCCGCCTCGAGACGTTGATCTCACAAGCTCATTGAAACGGGATGAGCCTGTTGCGTTGATACGCAATGAGAGGAGCGATTTGCTGAATCGCTCGCAGATCAGACCAGAGAGGTCCTGCCAGTCTGCCATATCCGGGGGGTCCTCAATAACGAGCTCCAGGTGCGTGATATTGCTCGTCAGATGCTTTAGGAACACTGCGATGTTTGCAACCTCTCCAGTCAACGATAGTTGACGGAGATCTGTAAATACGCCACCCGAGCGCAGGTCACCGGTCAAGCGCAAGGATGACTTGCGGATTTCCGTGAAGTCTATCTCGTCCGCAGAGAAGACACCACTATCTGACGACGCATCGCTGGGAGTGGAAGCTCCCGAAGCGACAATGTCGTCAAAGAAGCCTTCGACTGCAATGACGGACCGGCCAGTGAGGTCAAGCTCGAGAACACGCAACATGGGCAAAGATGCAGCCCATTGCCCAACACTCGACGAGAGCGCGCCAGGTGCAACTAGAACCAACTTTTCCAATGTGTTGTGGGACCTCAGAATATCAGTGAATGTTTCGGGAAGGCTCGTAGGTGACGTGAAGGAGAAGGATGACAATTGAGTCGTGCTGCATACCTCCGCAAGGAAAGTGGCAAGTTGTGGGATCCTCGTGCTGACCTCCAAAACCAGACTTTGAAGCTCTGGGTTCAAGAAAATGGTGCAGCGTTGCAAACCAGCAGCAGTATCCACACGCCAGATGAGCTGCTGCAAGTGAGGAAGGATGTATTGCACAGGTCGGTTCTCCGCGATGATTGCAAAGATAGACGGAGAGACGCTGGGCGAGGATTCGATGTATGCAATGCGGCGTACACGTTCCCCATAAGCGAGAACTCGACTCCAATCCTCAGCATTGGGTGCCTTGGCCTGCGAGAGAGGTGTCTGGTTGAGTAATTGAGAGGCTGCTCGTCAAGGAAAACGCACCAAACCAAGCCCAGGGCGGCGGGATCTCTTCATAAGGGTGTTGGGAAACAGCGAAATGATTGGAAGTAACGAGTCCAGTTCCCTCCATAGTACATTCAGAGCAGGCTCGCACATAGCTCTACAGGTCCGCGCAAGGCGTGACATGGAGCGGCGGCCATTAGGAGAGTCGATGATAGTCTCAAACAGCTTTTTGGCTGCATCAGGATCCCGGAGGATAGTAGGGAACATTGTCTGCTGATGAACAGAGTAAGGGCGGTAGGAAGTTCGATTGTTTTGTTTGATTTGGCTATCAGGATCGCGGGAACGACGAAGGCGAAGAGATACAGAAGTTAAAGCGTCGGAAAACAAGGAGGTGGAAGACATGGATACTTGGGTTAAGCACCTGGTTTTAAACCACTTACTGCGCTCACACGCCGTAACGTCCGGACTATGTGAGGAGTCACCAGCAGGATGAGGGCTGGTTCAAATAACAAATTAAACGTGCGCAGTGACTTCATGAGCCGAGCCATGCTCCCCTTTCGAACACGGAGGTGAAACACGCGTCAAGGGTTTGCCCTTACGCAATAGAAGCGAACGATTGGTGTCTATACTGGGGCGTGTCAACTGCCACCTTTCCGCTATCGGGAAGTGATTATACGCTAGCACGCTCTATGCGATACGTGACTTGGGGCGGCGGGCACCACACACTGAGCCAGACGCTGGCATCAGGCACGTGTTTTGCATGTGTCCCTCATTCTGTACTTGATCCTGCAAGTGATAGCAAGTATAATTGCACGAAGCGTCTCGATATGAAGCACTGAAAACGTCCTGTAAAAGCACTGAAATAATAAAACACGACCACATACGGCTAACAAATCCTACAACTCTCCGACTTCCCATGGTATAGGCTCGCCTTCCCAATCATCTTCCCCTTCTGTGCTACCTCGGGTGTCATCTTCCGCTTCACCGATATCCCATATATCCCCACCTCTCGACGCGTCATAATGACCAACACGGTCGCCGTAAAGTAAACTACGAAAGACACGCTCCTCCTTGCTGTTGCGGGTTCTTGATGGTGAAATGGCCAACATGAGGCGAAGCTCATCAGGTAAATCAACATGAAACGTTCCATTTTCGTCATGGCTCGTGTCGCCAGCCGTGGCATATTGATCGCGGTCACGGGCACCACTATGTAATATTGGGTCCCAGTCAAGCTCTTCCGCATTTTCCGATACTTGCTGTGCTGTCTGGGTCCGATTAATGACTTTAACAGCAACCTCGTCTAAAATGTCTTCGTCTTCCTCATCCTCCACATCTGCAAGCTTGACCTTTTTTCGGCTCGTTCCGGCTTTTCCTTGTCCGTTTGCTGCAACACGTCGATTTGAAGGGGCCGCTTCAGAAGTGGGAGACGGTGGAAGTAAGAATAATTGCTGAGAAGAAGCTGATGACAGTCCATCATTCGCCGACACGACCTCCAAGACACGCTTGAGGGACAACTTCGGTTCCTGGGACTTGGTATGCACTCGTTTCTCCACAGTAATTGTACGCGATGATCCAGGCCCCGACTGCTTTACCCGGCCTTCAGCGCTGGGAAACTCGTCTTTCTTGAGGAGTTTTGACATCAAAGTAGGTTTTGTATCTGCATTCGATTTCTGTCTATCTTGGCGACCTTTCGAGCGTCTAGAATCCTTATGGGCATTGGCCGGAGATGCTTCGAGACTCGTGGCATCATTCGAATCGACCCCGTGTGAGATTACAACATCGTCCGAGCCTCGTGAGTGTGACTTGGAAACATTTGCAGGTCTCTTAAGTACACTTGCAATTGGTAGTGTGTCTTCGAAGAGGAGCCTGAATGACTTGCCGCCTGCCGGCAGTTTTACGGGAGAATCGTCCACAAAAGAGGTATTGATGTCCGAGCCACCAACTACCCCATCACTATCATCATCACTAGACAAACAATGTAATAATCGGAAGGGTAAAGCCGAGTGAGAACCGATACGTTGACGTTTCTGCTTATTGGGCGAGGGCGAGACTGGTTCACCGCGAAGTCTCTTTCGTGCACGCGAGACTGCCGTGTTCGGCGCGGGAGGTAATTGGGAGTTTGTACCAATTGATAAATGTGGTTGTCCTTCGAGAAAATTATCTGGGGATTCACACCGGGAGGAACGGTTTGGTATATTCTTGGACGGAGTTGCGAAAAAATTTGGTAAAGGCACCTTTCGGGTTGAGAATGAGGATGCAGGGGAGGAATCCCTCTGCTTGCCTTTATTTTTTACTGGTGAAAACGGATTAAAACCTGGAAGAGGTGCGACGACTTCGATTTCTCGCGGCTTGGAAATAATACGGGAGCGGGTTGGGTGAGCAGTAGATTTTGGTGGGGTGGTAGGGGTCTGAGAGAGGCAGGTAGCTGCTGCTACTGCCTTGGATAGTTTCTTGTATAACTTGTACTTTTCAGCTGCAAGGATGATATTGAGTGCAAGTCGCGACATGAAAGTACCGATTAGACGCACCTATAGCAGGTTGATCTTTAATATCTTGAACAGAAGGATCTCTGGAGAACTTTGACTTGAAGTCGCGTTCCCAAGCTTTAATTTCTGTTCGAAGAGATGCAACGTCTGCCATTTAGTTAAGTTCAAACCTGCGTTGAACGTCTTAATGGTTTACCACACAAAGCCAAGCCAAACAAGCAGTCTAATTTTATTGACTCATTGATGGACAGTCACCTCATGTGCACATGTGGACAGCACAAGCTCTGCATGTCCCATTTTAAGTCTTTCTTCTGTCGATAACATTCGTTAATACTGACAACGATTCTTTGTCTGGCTAGCTCCTCTTTAAGGCTTGCACTGCATCCGTCTATCTATGCCTTTAAACTGGGGTCGTCACAAACACCAAACCAGCCATCGTGTCCAGGATGTGTCAAGCTCAATCCACGATGAGCGCGTTCCACGTTTCTTTCAGTCTCCTACTTCTGCCGCTTATCAGCATCACGATCCTAATCCATATGCCATTGTATCTCCAGCATCTCTCACTCCTGACTTCGATCAATCTCCGTCTTCATGTTATCGCCGTGAACTTGAAAGCCCTCCCGAATTTTCAAAACCTTTGTCAAAGAGTATCTTAAATGACCCTGCATTCTCATCCGATCCTCGTGTTCATCCACATTTTCCACTCATTAGCCCTACATTCTACAAGGAACTCCCGTCTAAATCTCCTCTTGTCAACAATCCCTCTCAGACCTCTCAGACCGCTCCCAGTGACATCTCACCTCATCAGGAAGTTCTCTATTCTATAAAGGACCTAGACTGTGTTTCACACCCACCCAGCTCGGGAGAAGCTAACATGTCCTCGACTTCTGTATCTTTAGATTCTGACTCCCACACCACTCTCTCTGCCCCTGCTGTACCATCTGCTACATCTCATTCCCACTCGCTGAATGATCCCACGATACCTCATGTTGTTTCGCCTGTGCAACTTTTGTTTCCATTCTCAACATCTCCGACTTCGTCTTCGCCAAGTCAAGACCCAGGGTCTTCGCCAGCCATGCGTCCCCCTACTTTAAATCGTCGTACCCCAGCACGTATTGTTACAGCTCCAGAGCAGCGAAAAAAAATGGCGAAACCCACACCAACGCGCTCTGACTCGGCTCCAGTTCATGCAGACGGTAGTAACAGGCCTACGGGAAAGCGTCGTATGAAGAATTTTATCCGACGCTTCACAATCTCCCGTGTCCTCGATCGAATCGACGAAATGGATGAGACGGATCATTTTGGAGCAGAATTACGACGTGACAATTCTTACGATGCTATTGGTAGCAATCTTGCGCAACTTGGGCCCGCTCACATGTATAATGATATTGACGTTCTGCGAGGCGATTTCTATACTAAATCTAAGCGTGAGGTAGGTTGGACATACAAGCTTTTCCGACACATGTTTACATCCTCTTTGCAAAGAACGCCCCTCGTCAGGTGCGGACCCAGAAAGTATGTTTGGTAGTTGAGGACCACGAAGCTTTTATCTTTACATGTTTTGCTGCAGCTCCCCAGATTGCCCCCGATTGGTCCAGGCCTCAGTCGACCGTCTCCAAATTTCGTTCCTGGGCAAATTATTCCGTCTGGTGTTATATCACCGCCTCTGCATGCCACTCAGGCTGACGCTGTAATTTCGAACCCAGATCTTCGTAATCCAACCTCGGGCCAGTTAGAACCCAATGACCCCAGAAATCACTCTCCTCTTTACCACCTTCCGCCCGAGATGCTACCTTCTCGTTCATCGTCACATGCCCCCACCAGCAAGTCTGCTTCTCAGATCCATCGCTTTGGTAAAGATATACCTCACATACCACAACGGCCAGCTCATGATGAGCTCGTGCCTTATCACCTCCATCAAATACATTCTGCGCCCGGTCTACCGCCGGCTCATAATGAACGATATCTCGAAACTCGGTCACAAGCTCGCGGTGATGCAAATCAGGCAACGTCTCTTTCATCACCGCCCGTCGTTGAATCACCTGACATGGCGAATCCCCATCCTCGCCATCGTAGAACTCACTCGTTGGACAGTTTGCTCACGCGCCCCACCACATCTACGCAATCTATATCTCGCACTCAAAATAGCTTACAGCCACCGCGCAATCATCACCTTCCAAAACGCCTCGTCATGCCTGCTCTTCTTCAGCCCCCGCAACCACTACCCCAACAACAACCCCTGGATATACATCCCAGAACTGACCCCTACGATCTCCATCTCGAGTCTGACCCCTTCCCACCAACCAAAGGCCATACTCCCGAACCGGCAGCAATGTATCACCAAGGCCGAAAACTACTCCGGAAGAAGGCGGCCGTCTACCCTGGAAATATACCTTTGCCAACGCATGTGCCTGGAGCCCATGCTCACTCAAATCCTCCATTGACAAAACATCTGTCCTTGTCAGCAACTGATACTGGGAATGTCAAGGAGGTAGCTAATCGACGAAGGCTGAGTAAACGGAAACATGATATTTGATTCATGTTATAACCCTTCTTCTGGACTTTGACAGATTCTGATACGGAGATGGGTTGGTGTTCTTGTTTGAGCTGTCTTCTATCTCGTTGATTTGATTCACCTCATAGAGGACAATCAGTGCACTTATCGAGGTGTCTTGACTATGGACCTTGGTACACCAATCGCATTAAGTGATAACGCACGCAATATTTTTTGATTCTTCTGTATGTGTTTTAGCACGACTGTGGAATTGATGCATTTTTCTTTTAGTACACGGTATTTTTGCGCTAGTTTTTGATAGATTGGCGTGTTGCCACGTTATTGAGACTGGGGGTGCTGAAAGCTGTTAAACTTTGTTTCCTGGACGCTCAGGATATCGTTCCGAGGCTACCAGATGAATTTTAATAAGTGTATGGCCCCTGATTGGTTTGGGATGCCAGCGCAAAACCTTGACCATCCGATCATCGCTTCTGTTCGCTACAGTACTATGTAGAACCAGTACTGTTCAACAAACAACAATAGCTGGGGTCCACCGATCGCTTCAAACACAAATCCCCTTCATCTTAGTTTCACCTCCATTCCGTTTCATGGACATGTTGCGCTTGTTTAATTCCACGATCTCCTTCTGCAGTTGCACATCCAGCCCACTAACTTCCGCTCTAATTACGACAGCAATAACCAATGATGGCGGCCTTGAGGTGCTTCAACGTTGCATCTTTAGCAATGCAGTTGATCGGCCTGCATACTCCATTGGACACGCGGAAAAGTTCCGTTCGATTCCGTTCATTTCTGGCGGAGGTGAGACGCCCTTTATAGAAACTTCAGCAGTCTGAGCGGAGATGTGCTGGCTCTATGACCTTTTGCAATCAGGATCATAAGTTGGCAAAAGTCGGAAAAGCTGTCCCTGGCCGTCCTTGTTACTAAAATTGTGAATTTCTTCCTGATGTAGGCCTTGGATCATGGCTTCGTTGACATGACGAAAGTCCGATAGACGAGGCGTTGGCTCCCGCGTCGAGGATAGCCTTACTTGTGAAAATTTCGCCTTGAGAACGGAAAATCATGTGTTCAGTACTCCGCGCCACTGCTCGGTTTTTGGATGTATCTAATCTAGCCTGGCAGCTAAGTTCGATTGTGCTTAACTCTATTTTCCACCCATACTAGTCGATGCGCCCTACATAAATACCCTTCCTCCGCAGGTGCGTGTTGTCCGAAATGCCCTCTACCCCTTTTTGCCTCCGACGCTCATCTCATGGACAGTGCTGGTCTCTTTGTCTATGCCTTGGCTGTTGCAGTAGCCCTTCTACTCCTTTCGATTTACGATCGTCGCAGGTTTTCTGAGGCATGCACTTTTATGCAGTTGCAGTGGGCTAACTAACTTCGAGTCTAGCTTCATGTTATTCCTGCGATCGGACCATCAGGGGCAGTCTCTTCATGGCTCGGCGCGGTCCGCTTCATCATGGATGCTCCAGCCATGGTGCAAGAAGGCTATCAGAAGGTTGGTGACCATGTTATTCTTATGCAATTATGTTTTGAACCTCGATGAAGCATAAAGGCGGAATGTTCAGAGTGCCATTGTTTGACAAATGGGTAGTGGTCCTTACTGGTCCGCGGCTAATAGAGGAATTGAGGAAGGTGCCGGAAGACGAGCTTTCATTCGATCACGCTATGCGAGATGTGCGTTGGAAGTTGCCTTCTATTCCGTAACATTGAGATTTCCTAATCCACGGTTGCACAGCTTCTTCAAGTCAAATATACATTTGGCATCGACGCCCAGGAATATCCCTATCACATACAAGTCACTCGCAACCATCTATCCCGAAACCTTCAGGCGCTCTTTCCTGATGTTTACGACGAAATCAACCATGCATTCAGAACCATCATACCACTAGACCAAAATGGCAAGTTTTTTCACTTTCTCCGTGAGGTTATATTTACGTGCTTGTTGCGCAGGTTGGACTAAAGTTCGCATATACCCGGAGATCATGAAGGCTATGTGTCGCGTAAGCAATCGCCTTTTTGTTGGGCTTCCGCTATGTGAGTGGTTCGCTTAGATCAAGGGTGCATCCGCTCAACCCGCTTACAGGCCGATCCCCTGAATTTGAAGCCCTGCAACAGCAATTCGCTTTACAAGTTGTATTGCGTGCAACTCTCGTGAACTTTTTCCCAAAATTTGCACATCCGTAAGCAGTGTTGCTGAATTGATGGTGCGAAGACCCAACTTTGACTTTTAGGATCATTGGTCGCTTATTGACGAACACGCCTAGTAGCATCAGGGGATGTATGGCACTTCTTGAACCTATCGTGCAGGAACGACTGCAGACCCTGGAGCAATGCAGGGACGAGTGGCACGCTCAACCGGTGTGTTATCTTTCTATGACATGGTTCACTAATTAACTATGTTTCCCCAATAAAGAATGACATGATTAGCTGGCTCATCGACGTATCCGACAATGAGCACAGGAATCTTCGGAGTATATGCTTGCGGATTTTGGTCCTCAATTTTGCTTCATTACATACATCGGCTCAGGTATGCCGTTATGCTCCAGAGCAAATCAATCACTGACTTATTGTCTCACAAAGAGCTTCACCCACGCTCTTTTCAATCTTGCTACATACCCTCAATATTGCAAACCCCTTCGAGAGGAAGCTTTAGCTGTTATTAATCAAGATGGATGGTCAAAGACTGCGATGACGAAACTTGTCAAGATGGACAGCTTTCTCAAGGAATCCCAACGATTCAATAGCACCACTCTCTGTATGTTATTTTTTATTTTTGGCGATACTAGGCTGATTTCTGGTAGTCCCTATGATGCGCAAAGCAATGCGGCCGTTCGTATTCTCGGATGGCACTGTGATACCTAGCGGAACTCACGTCGTTGTCGCTTCATTACCCATGCATCTCGACGAGGAATACTTCGAAAGCGCGTCTGAGTTTCAACCTTTTCGGTTTTCACAGCAGCGCGAGGACACTGAAGACCTACAAAGCCTACTAGCTTCCACAAGTGCGAGTTATATTCCTTTTGGGTATGGACTTCATGCTTGGTACGCCAAAATTGCCCGATCTATGGTTTTGAGTTCTCACTCACTGATTTTGTCAGCCCCGGTCGCTTCTTTGCTTCTAGTGTGATGAAGGCCATGATGGCTTATCTTGTGCTAAACTATGATATTAAATTGGAAAAAGAAGGCGAGCGTCCTCCAGATGAATGGTTTCTGATGAATTGCTCTCCCAACCGTAAGGCAGAGGTTATGTTTAGACGGCGACGACCCTGATTGTAACGATTTCACATACATACTTAGACACCCAAATAATGCCCACATTTTTTACTATTTCATTATTTCCAGCAATAGCACATCGAACATGAATTGTGTGAAGAATTTCATTACTGAATTCTAAGTCGACTCTATTAACATACACTCACCCCATCAATGGACAGGCCAAGGATTGATACGAATAGAGTGCGATCTCGTCATTGATGGTGTTTCAAGTGTGTTGTCACCACGGCGTCTACGTTCCTAGTTCTCCTAAGGTTCATCGTTCTCGAGAATCCTATGGCCCCTTGGTCTAAGTTGTAAGACTGAGCTCGAGGGTCATCGAGACAGAAACCATCCAGAGTTTCTGATGCATATCATCTTGCGCGAATAGCCGTGATGGTGACTATGAAAGAGTTGCACTTAATAGGTCGATTACGGGGTACAAACTTCAGGGCTGCGACTCACTTGGATCACTGATGTGTATATAACCAACTTACATCATACTTCTTGCCCTAGGAGGTTCCACGAGTAAATCTGGAGCAAGGGGAGTTTACATGAATGGTAAATTTGGGGCTGACAGGTCATTTACCGTCCAAAACGTGAATAGAAGTTTCTTGGATCAGATGAGAAAGATCATACGGCGTACATGAGGATTGAGATGAAAGCTAAATTTATCAGGATGAAGTTGATCCAAATAATTCGGGACGCGGATGAATACAAACATGACAAGAAGAGAAAGTTGCACCGATCAGTACGGTTAGATCAGTAAGTCAAATGGAACATGAACTGGAAGCTATACTGTTTCGTATCGGGATCCCAATATGACCAGTTCCAATATCCGGCGTCGTCAGCTTCGTCTTCTATCTCGCGCGCAGGGGAAAACAATTGGCTTCATACGGTTCAGTAGCCACCTAGCACCCAATAAGCAACGTGTGACTTGGGGAAGTAGTTGCATCTACGATCAGATACTGGCATACTGCCTTGTTCAGAGGCTCCCTCTTTTGCTCCCAAGTGCGCATAAATCGTCGGCGAGAAATGACATCTGCTTTGATCTGAAGAAGGTGGACCTGGACCATCATACCTTCTTTTTGTCCCACAGTTTTTCACTCAGTGGCCTAGGCGTACTATTTTGAGGGACGCTTTGCGTTGTACATTTCTTCGAGTCAGAGCAATTATCGACTGCGTGTCCTGAGCATCGCGAGCCGCACGACGAGCGAGATTGATTCTTTCCCTAGTATGAACCTTCATTGGTATAAAGTGCCAGACAGAGACGACATTCGAGGGAGCCCAAATGATTCCTTATGATGCTTACATGGATACTGCACTGCATGTCAAAATTGGCATCGAAGGGCAGGTCAAATACTAGAAACTTACACATCGGGGGGGTTCAACATTTTACCTGTCGCAAGATTTCAATCAAAAGCAGATCTGGACCTGGCTAGAGCATTCCAGACCTAGCCTAGAGCGTTCCAGAGCACTCCAGGATACCTGTTGAATGTAACCTCACTGGCAGCAAACGGCGGTAAAACGTCAGTTTCCCAGTAGTGTGACTTTGGCAAGATCTATCGTCTCAAGTGCAAATCTGCGTAAACATCCCGAGCGACACCAACTCCACCGAACTTGAAACCGGCACGATTCTGCAAACAAGATGGATTTGTATTCCCAGGGTGAGCTAAGGACTATCTGGCAAAATGCATCAGGAACTTTAACATCAAGCTCAGGCTGGCGAAAGTCAAAGAGCAAAGATGACATAATCGGTCCATGATAGGTTTTCTTCCACCCCGATACTCGTCAGACAATTCAGACTTTGGTCAATCAGTAAGGAATGATGCCAAAGCCAGCCGTCGGTTCGTTGCATTAACCCGTTGGGACTTGTAGATTCTCTTAGTAGCGCCCAACCAAGGTGAGTTCTAGAAATCTTTAAAATGAATCTGTTGAATGTTTGTGAGCGGTATATCTTAAATCCGCCGCGGCTTACTTACTTGAAGCTTCACATAGATGATGTCTTCGGCGGCCGTTTGAAGTTTATGTAAAGCCCGACCATGCTTGATGTTGCAGTTACGAATATGTCCGGTGATGCTAGCCTGGAGATAGTCATCTTCGGTCAGTCCCGAACCTCATTGTTTCCGATTCCCAGGTCACAGAAGTCGGCCATGCCACCAAATGGTTCG